ACGTTTTGTTGAGTCATTCATTTACCACTAACAAACTTTGGGAACTACTACATCAAGTGACAATCGACCAATGAAATACAGTTTGTTTCCGATAAAAATAATGATAAAGTCGGTTTACCATTAGTTGGGCTACCGGCTGCCGTGCAACGTGTCACTGGTTCGATTTCTGCTCGGAACAAGTCTTTGTGTAAGCCACAAATTGTCATTTCGAGTAAACATAATATAAACGCACTTACAACACAGGAGAAAATCCAAATGTTATGCAATGTTAAAAATTATTAATTACAAACTGCATACACCTAATATGTAAAATGTAATAAAGGTAAGGTTTTAATATTTTTCAAAGAAAATAAGAAAGTAGTAAGAAAATTCAATATCTCTAATTAACCCCAGCGCGCCTTATGCACTAGAAAAATCACTTAAGACGACTTCTATATAAAATGAATTCCATAAAAAGTCACCAGACGGCACTTTTTACCGTCTTACGTAATAAGAAAATAACTACGAAAACCGACTTTTAATATACTTCGCCTTAGGAAAAGCCACCGCAAGTTATTAATGGAAATTGAAGATCCACTGCATATTACTTAGGCCGGCTGCAAACAAAAAAAAGTACGTCTCGAGAGAAACCGCAGAGAAGTTCCACGTTGCGCTTTAATCTCAAGCTATATTTCAGAGCTGTGCAAATGAAAAGTTAGTCTCGGCGAAGACTTCAAGAAGGCCCGCCTTCTCGCTCGCCAGCCAATGGAAAAGGTCGGGAAAGCAAGTTCTTCCGTGGAGGCGGGGCGAGCACGGCTGCGGTCGCTTCGCCATTTGAATAAAATTTTTCCTTTGAAGAGTTCTTTATTTGAATATATTGTGGCCGCGTGGGACGATCGTGTTACGCTTTATGATGCGTCTTTTGATCGCTGAACATCATCTCTGTTGTTTATTTTTGCGTATTTCATAATAAAATTTGCAGAATATTTGTTAGGTTAAAATATTGGTATACGCCCATCAAAAGTTCCCATCAATCCAAACTTCACCTATCGACAAAAAAACTTGAGCAAAACGCAAAAAGGTTAGAGTACACGCAAACATCGTGCAGACGGCGCACGCACGTCCCGTCACCCACAACAGCCCTTGTCAACCATAACGCGGCCGCAGCCGGTTAACCGGGTGGCGGCCGGACCGGTACACCAACCCGGTTAGCCGGTTAGCCACGGAAAACTACCATTTCATTTACGGTCGGTCCTTGGTTTCGGGTAGTTGGTAACGGAACCCGCAAGTTACGTAACTATGCTTTGTGGCGCCGACTCACTCACGCTCTATTAACCGTCATTTTGTTATTAGTTTAGGTATTGGAGTTAAATGTGCGCTGAAATATTGCTCCAGTCGACGAGGCGAAGGCGGTTGCTTGACATTGTAGTTTGTGGTCTTGTGAAGTCGGTGGATGCCAATTCGCTCGTTTCATTTCGGAGAAACACCCCGCAGTATAAGTTTTGCTAACGTATCAAAGTTTGCGTCGGGGATCCATTGCACAAAACAAAATCGCTTTAAGATATGAACTTTTTACTATTTACTAGTTAGACTAACATATTAAATTGACTCTGTTGTCTCATAATTTAGTCTTCACTGAACAGCGAAACCATTTCAAACAACTCAGTCTAATAGATCGCTCAATCATCCGAAACAGCGTCAAGCCGACACATTGAATCACCTTACACGGGAATATTAATTCACTCAATTAGCACAGGAGGGCATTAGCAGGTCGTTATCGGCCGACGACAACGCTTAGTAATCGTGCGACTCCGACAAGGCGACGAGTGTATTTGACAGCTGTCAAATTGGATTGCATCTAGCTATTAGGGAATGTCGGTGGCGACGACGGAATAATCTGGATGCGTCGCTTCTCCTCAACGTGCTAAAGTAACAAGTAAAATCTTTATATGTTTTTTATTATCAATTATTTCAATATTTATTTTTACCTATCACTACATAGCATAAAACAAAGTCGGTTTTTCTGTCCGTATATTCCTTTGTATGCTTCAATCTTTTAAACAACGCTACGGATTTTTGAGCTGTTTTTTTTAATAGATAACGTCATTAGCGTCATTTATGAGGATGGTTTATATTAAATAGCGGAGAAATTTAGTATCATCGTTCCAGGGCGGGCTGCTATTATAAAATATCTCCAAGTTGGGGCAAATATCATTATGCTTCCGGGGAGTAGTAATAGTAAAGTAACTATTCTCTATTTAAGTCATACATACATATTATATTGACATTATTCTTCATTCCTTAACCAAATTACAATTATAAATCTTTTCCAAATTACCAAGCAACAAAAAAGGTCTCAATCAAACAACACTTTTATTTATTTCTTACAAACAGAGAAGTTTTATTAGCAAACCATGTCCACAAGTTTACCCAGCCCGGTATCTCGACTCGAATTGAGATGTCGAAACGCGACAGAAGTTGAAACGGTGCAAGTGTCGCAGTTACTGTCGCGCGACTAAACGGTGTCGCCGACTGCATGAAGTTTCGATTATTTGATATTAAACTTTATTTACTATTAGTATTTTGGTTTCATTTTCATATGCCTTTTGAGGTTGCGGGTGCAAGGACATTGATGCATCAAGGGTCGGCTTGAAAAGTGAAATGGAATTGGTTTATTTTTAGTAAGTAAGAGGTTGACTGCCCCTTTTGTCCCATCCAGGCTTTTTTGTGGAAAAAATAATGGACGATTTTAAAACTTCAAAAAATATGTCTCTGCAGTCAAAATAGCCCATGTGGAAGCTATTGAGTGTAATAATATACCGTAGTATATAGTAGTAGTATAGTATAAGGAGAAGAAACGGGGTGGTTTTAAGTCAGTAAGAATCTGGACACTTCCTTCGGGGCGAGAGAAGTAATTTGACTATTACCCCACCAAAAAATACCCAATCAAACCAATACATTTTTTTGTCTCAATGAAGGTACATATAATCAGCGTAGAGATACAACTTTGCATGATACCTAAATCAAACTAAGGCTTACCCCTACACACGCAAGTCGTTTAACCATTACATGTAAATAAACCTACATACAAACCCTATAAACAACTTAACAAACAATCCCCATCCATATATCTAGTCGCTAAACAGCTCATAAATCGTTCCATCCAAAAATGTGTTCAATAACACCATAAAAAAAACTTTCCCCATGGATCGAAGGTTGTCGCGGCTCAAGTGAGGAAATTGTGAAATCGTAAAAACGGTGCTAGGTATCGTGTGGGTACCACATTAAGTAGGGTTATTTATTTAGGCGCGCCGTAGACGGTACCGGCACGTAACGGTACCGGTCCGACTTCACATCACTCATTGCCCTGACTTGCCACGTTGTTACAACCCTGCCTTTTGATAGCTTTTTGGGCAGGTTGGAAAATTTTCGATGAATGTTCTTTTGTGATTATTTGGTTGATTACGTTGATCTTGGTGAATGATTTTTGCTCAGAGTGTGTGAGTCGTTGTGTTGTTTTGTCTATAAATAGATGTAACATGATTAGATTATTCAACAAAGCATACTGGGAATTCATTTATGACTTCTTCCGCGTTGGGTATGGCAGAGTGTCTAACTCTTACTAACTAAAAATTACCCCGTTCCTTGGGCCGGGTCCGCTGCACATTATCGCGCTTATATCAGGTCTTTTGTGAACTTCAAAAGAAAAAAAGCCGAACTTCGCTACAATGGAAGACCAAATTTACATTGACAATTTCAATTTAAGGAATTATAGATAGTTACTGTTCATTACGTATCGAACAGTTACATTGTCTGGCAAAATTTTGAGCGAAACATGTAACACGAGGAGCAGACTGGTGGCACGTAATAAAATGTTCCCGAAAGCGTAAAGCATCACAAACACTTGTTTTGCGAACGGTGCAAGCGTTCCTCGGCCGCGTTAATAAACTCCGATAGGCCGCAACAAGCTGGCTGCGTGTACGGCCTCCATTTTTAACGAGCCTCACCGCCGGGCCCGCAGAAAGTAGCCTACACATGAAATCACGTATGAATGAGGCTTTTTTCAGTTTTTTCGCGTGTAGCCAGCGGCCAGCCGCTCCGAGGCCCATTAAAGCTTACATGTCACTCTCCCGCGCCCCACAGGGAGGCAGCCGCGAGGGGGGCGCTGGAAAAATCACAAAATCGGTATTGGCTGCATCCCGCAGCGAGCGGCCGCCAAAGCGCTCTACAATACAGCTTTGACGGACGGTCATTTAATATTAACTGTGGTTTTTCCGCAGATGGAAATGTTTTTTTATTGCCGGCGTTACGCTGTGATGAAGTGGTCGGCCCGCTGTTTGTGACGCGCGCTCACGGGTAGCGGATGAGTTGCTCTTTTACACACTCCATGTTTCAATGAGATTGTTTCGATTCAAGTGCTTGTTTTCGTTTGCTCTTTTTTGTAGTGGTCGCCTATGATGCTCTCGTGTAATAATTCCGATATAAGCCAATTTATTTGAGGGTTGATGATATTGATACGCCCTGTGGGGTCGCCTGAGTATTTTTGATTGACAATATTTGTCACGTGCACGCAGCGTGCATCACAGACACAAACGAATTCATTCGGTTCGTAGAAATTGAAAACGAAGCGGCAATAAATTTTTAACTTTTCGAACAAGTGATCAAAATCGAACTACAAAAAGTGGGCGGCCAGCGAAAAGAGTGGCGACCACAGATTGAATTTATGGCGTGCGCTCACTTTGAGTGAAAAGTTTGCGCAAATAATATTTTCAGTTTGTTATAATTACTTTTTCGCAACGGCGCGATTTAATAAAATGTGTCGCTGTATTAAGGGAATGTCGGCTTAAAGTTTTAACTGTGAAAATGAATATGTTTTATGAATTTTGTTTTACTCGTTGTTATAGATTCATGAAAAATATTTTACCTGCTTATTCAGTATTTGAATTAAGACTTTATACTCTTACGATTAGATCATATTTTTTCTGCAGTGATTATGATACTTATATGACATTTTGTTTCAGGTAAATCGTTTACACTAACGATAACCGTATCAACGACGCCGCCGCAAGTGACGACATACAACAAAGCAATCAAAGTGACGGTGGACGGGCCAAGGGAACCTCGCTCTAAAACCAGTTAGTATCAGAGTTTATTTTTGATTGAGTGTAGAGAAATTTTTGACTCAAAATATAAGTATAAGAGTTAGTTAGTCTAGTGGTTTTGAACACGTGGTATTTGATTTAAAAGAGGCTTACTTTAGTTAGCATTAAGACTTAATTCGTATACCTTGCTATACAAGGCTTTTTTGTGAGGGGAAAAACGTCAAATAACTTCTCTTGTCTAAGCTGAGGCGAGAGGGAGTGTTAGACTCTAACTGACTAAGAACCCCCGCCCTTCCCGTTCCTTATTGCTTTTACTACTCGGCACTATCCTTGTGGCCTAGCCCTACTGATAGCATTATAATGTAATGACAACGAAACAATGATAGCATTATAACCTTAAATTCCAATGCAATAACGAACAAAGTCCCAAACAAATACCTCTCTTTTAGGAGTTACAAAATGAGGGTACATGGATATTTTACCTACCTACCTACCTACAATACCAATTATTTCCACCCACTATTTCATTCGTGCTCTAAACATCAAAGCGTGCAAACGTCTGAACACTCGGCAACAAACGAGCGAAACCGCAAAACATTGTAAAACACACTTAATGAAGGTAATTTATTAATAATTTGCCAAAACGTACCTTTTCGAGCGCAGATACCGTAAACGAAGGGGATTCTTCAGAGCTACAAATATTATGACGTATTTAATTACTCAATTTGATTTGTTTAGCTTTGATATTATTGTAATTGATGATGTTTTTATGAAAATGGTGATGTAAATTGTAACTTTTAGTTAACATGGTAATTAACCTTTAAAACGCTATGTCAATCACCTGTGCCTGAGCTCAGACTTTTACCATTAAACTCCCCTGAAGTTTGAAAGTAGTTAAGTTGATTTATTGTCAAGTATTTTTTTCTGATTTTCTAATCTCCTACAATATGTGTGATGGAAGAACGATATCACTCATGACATTCAAGTTTGAAACCCACAGATTTTAAATCAATCTTAACTAAAGAAAGGGTCGTTCAGGTCCTCAATAAAACTTCACTAAGTATAAACTAACTTGTCACTTACGACAAAAACTATTTTAATAGCACTTAATCCTAACTATACATCAAGAAAGCAATTTAAATAGTTAAAAGTTTGGGTGAACGTAACAAATGACGGGTGCCGACGGTCGCCGAATCGCACCTAACGCTCGATCAATCCTCATCACGTGAAGAAATTAAAATAATTGCGAGCACCGCGGGATAGTGCCGACCCGGCGACCCGTCCGTCGGTCTCACAGACCCCCCGCGCCAATAGAAGGGTTGAGTACCGTCGGACTACCAGATTAGAGGGAAAATTTTACTGCTAACTTAGTTTGCTTTTGTATAAAGTATGTTCTAACTGTGTATTAGTGGAATCGATGTATTATATGAGTACGATTATAGTTCTCATCGGTGAATTGGGTGTATCTTTAGTAAAATTTTAAATATCGAATAGAAAAAGAATTCAACTAAGAACTTTAAAAAAAAACATTTTGATAAAATAATCTTAAAGAAAAAAAGTCGATGTGTTATTTTTTCAGAATACTCCAAACTAAACAAATATAAGTTAAGTAGCATTTTACACGATTAAAAATAAACTTTTCTATTTCACATACTCTTGCGAAACCTCCTCAATGCTATCGGTACCTCTACGAGACGAATGTGAGGGTACAAAGAGGCTGCTGTAATGAATCGGTTGTTTAATTAATTAGTCAAGAAAGGGCCGGGGGAGTTAACCCCCTCACCGCGTATGCATGTGCCCTGCATATTGATTTATTATGCTTCCAGCCTCTACACGGAACGATAAATTATTTAATTCTAGTAAGTTCCGACGCATGTAACATTCTATCTATACGTGTTCGCTTCAATTCGGTCGCCTTATTTGTTCTCTTGTCTTGTGATAGTGAATGTACGATTGACAAGCAAAGGGTTGTGGTAAATTTTAAATTCAATTCTGCTGTATTCGAAGTATTTCGTTCTTGCTTTATGTAGGTGAGAATTTTAATCAGTGATGTGAGTTGAAAATAGAATTGTTACACGTTGAGTCAGCACATGTATCATGTATTATCTGTAGAAATGAGTGCTTAAACTTATTTCACCCAAACGAGAATTCCGAGGCAACATCAAACAAACTCTTTTAAAATTCCTCTCGATATTTGAACAACCGGTAAAGATGTACACAAACCGTGCGGATATTACTGGCACATTGTGTCCTACCCTTAGCCACTATTTTTGTCCGCTGGGTGGGTGGCGCGTTTTATCGCGCTCGGTAGCCAACAGAAGCCGACTACAATTTAATAATCCGCCCGTCTAACGATGTTTTTCTTCGTGCTCTGTTCGGCTGGTTTCGGGTTATTTCGGGAACTGAGCGCTCGGACCACCCATGCGTGGCGCTACCGTCGCCTGCGCCGATCTCAATGTTTACGACAATAAACTCCGTTGTTTACTTCACACGGCGACTAAGTTCATAACTTTTGTGTATTGTCTATCTTGAGGGGTGATGAACTTGGGATTTATGGACTTAACTACATGCCAACGGGTAAAACTATGTATATACCTAATCCGATACAAAAGCCGAACACATAAATTTCAAATCCGGTCTAATTTAAATCTTCTAAACGAAGTACCATCAAGCAGACGCGACGGTTCGCAAAGGCTAACTAGTAGAAATACTTGGCATAATAAATTTAACTAGACCGGACGGCACAGGGTGTAATCCTTTAATCAGGTCCGTAGTAGCCCTTGCCCGCACCCTATTTTTCCCTCCCATTTGTAATACACCCCCTCCCCCCATGGGGTGGGCCTCGAACGGTGCAAATGACAGTTTCTAATTCCAACTTGCCATGAAAGTGTGTAATTGTTGCGTCGCTGATTTATACACTAGAGCCTTTTGCACGGGAATAGAGAGAGCCATATGTGTGCTTAATAGGGCTGTCCTGATCTTTTGTTTTGCTACCGAATGGTTTCCCATCGAACGTGTTTCGTAAATTGAAATTTATTCCATTCGTGTTGTTTTGTAGTATATCTCATGATGTTATGAAAATTATGAATTGGAATTATCAGACTGTAGTCTGTGGGCAATAATGGACACAATTTCTTTTTTAATTTAATTCTCCTCCAAAATTTTGTTTTGGATTTACAAGAATTTATAGACTACTTATCAAGTCCCAAGTTACACTTATTCTTTCCTAGATGTTACTATTATCATTAGTTACCCACAGACTATCACGTTAAAAGGCACTTCGATAATTTATTACGACTTGAGTATTTATACTACTTAAAAATAGATTGGATGTTAAATTCATATGTTCGGATATTGGCTTTTAAAGAATAATAATATAGTAAAAACTGAACGGTAATGACATTTTAATAATTGACAACCCTAGCTTTGTGTAAGTGTGTCCATGACTTCAATTGGTTTGTATGTGTGCGTGCATTTGTCAATGTAATAGCCGCGGACCATGCAAGTGAATTTACATAATTTGCATTTTTGTACTCAGAGTGCAGTGTAGATAAATAATCATTTTCTATAGTTCCAGTAATTGTGTGATCTATTTTTAGCAGTCAAATAACTGATACAACCCTAGACAGATACTTATCTAAAATGACTTATAGCTAATATAAGACAATGTATATGGTACAAGCTATGGTACCTGCTATACAGACACAAATGTGTTTTACATATATGTACATATAATAAATCTTTCTCTCACTTCGCAACGAAGTGCTTTTGTGGTGAGTAAGATTCGGTATACTTACAGGCAGTAAGGTGAAGAATGGTAGAGACGAGTCTTTCTTTCCTTTGACTGTGAGGGTAAAGCCACATACAAAATGCTATTAAAAAATTGAAATATTTCCATATTTCAAATTCACACTGTCCAATTATAACCTACTAGCTTTTGCCCGACTTTGTTTGAAATAGTGACTTCCTGCAGATTTTTGGTTTAAAAAGTATCCTATGTCCTTTTTAGAGATCTAAACTATGTCTGTACCAAATTTCACACAAATAGGTTCAGTAGTTTAGGCGTGAAGAAAAGACAGAGAGAGTCACTTTCGCATTTATAATATTAGTTTGGATAACAAGCACACTTTTTGTTAATCTAACCACAAAGTTAGTAATTTGAACTCTATATTTATAAACAAAGAGTTTCTATTTCTAAATCTTTAAAATTCCCACCACATTGATTGAGCTCCACAGTGATTACTAAGCAACCAGAAGGTTCATACATGTTCCTATGTCGCCGCGCTTCCCCGTGATTGAATTATGTCGCCATGTCGCCCATGAAGAGTGCCGCAGACAATGCTGCCTTGTCGCTTCAATTATTCCCTACATCCCCCTGTACTGAACCCGGTACTGAGATTATCCGAATTAAGGTAGCATATTGAGAAGATTAGAAATAGTATCAAATATATTGTGTAACATTTCTCAAGGTTTGTGTATGGGGGATTTGATAGTTTTTAGTATAAATGATATATTGTTGTTTTCGTGATCAGTCAAGATGAAAAACTTTTATGTATCTATACTTTAAATTTATTAATTTCGGTAACTTTAGTATAATATTCTGAATACTAAAAGAAGGCTCTCTTTTAGAGCGAATAAAAGTAAATGAAATATTATTTTTCATTCAATAAATAGTTAAGGGTTATAAGAACTAATTTATTGATTATTATCGAGTATAATAAGATCTTCCTGAAGGTATCTCATATTCATCACTGATTCGATCTTTACGTAAATTTTCATGTCATCAGCAAAACAAACTTTACTATGGTGAAAGGAATCGAAAATGTAATTAACGAAGATCAGGAATAGCGTTGGTCCAATAAGTGATCCCTGTGGAACACCTATACTTACCTAACCAAACATATAATTATTGCCAATGACAGCCTTTTAAATAAGTTCAAATTAGTCTGTACGTAATACTCACTGCAACTATGCACTGAACACTTATTTGAAAACGCTTACAATAAAAATTATAATGACTACTCAGGAGAAACCTTACAAACCCTAAACAAACACAATCATGATTTGGTTTTGGCCTAAGCGTTTCTACGAACGACTAGACAATATGTTTATGACGTACCTACCATAGACTTGGCAACCTTCATCAGACTCAATTGGCTTACAGCTCTATACGGATTTGCAATATGAATGTGTTAATTTGTATTTTGTAGTTATGCTGTCGGTATTACAGTGGAGTTTATTGAAGTTTCTAGGCAAAAACTTTTCTTACATAGAAATTAGGAATATAAAGAGGGAAGAATAGAAAAGATTTTGTACTTACAAATCTTAACTTACACCATTGCGTAAATCAGCAGAAAAACATTAATTAGCTTTTTCTAATGGTTATAATTTATCTTTTCAAATGCAAGCATATTTTTTGTTTTAGAATATCATTCATGAACAATTTTCGAAAGATCTCTAAAGTTTTCTATGTTTATTTTTTTAATAATATCTTTATACCAGGCTCTCGTGCATTTATTATCCGCTAAATGCATACCTAATAACAAAACAGCCAATTTCTATGGGACTAGACACATTTTTCTTCATACGATATTTAATCACTTAAAAAATTATCAATGAAAAATTATAATATTCTCTGGATTTTAACAACAAGCAGTCAAACTACCCCAACAAAAAAAAACTTTAGGTGCCAAAATAAATAAATCAATTTCTATAGCACTAAACACATTTTTCTTGAAACAGTTTTTAATTACTCCAATATCTTCTTTATAGATAAGTTACACATGTAGGATCTAAATTGAAATTCCAACAAGGCTTCGATATTTCACGGTGGCAAGTTGTAACTAATTCTTACAAGAGGGGGGAAGGCAGTAGTGTGACACGAGTGCCGATGAATTATCGAGTGTCTAGGGACTAATCGAAGGGTGTTTCAGAATGTGAGACCAAGTTGCTACTTGTACATGTGAGAGTGAGTGTCGAATGTGGTGTTTCATTAATAGTATTGAGTTAACGGATGTTAGCCAACCTATAAATCGTATGCAGAATTTATAACAGTTTTCAACTAGTATAATTCAATACTTTTATTGGAATGTCAATAATGATACTTACTTTTCTTTGAATAAGATTGATTAAGACCATTAATATGAAACCTATTTTTAAAAAAAATGTGAGTACTTATATCGAAAAATCGATGAATTAATTCATTAATAATGAAGACTGAACTTATTGCATTGAAAAGTCATTTTATTCTCTTTTTGAGTTAATGCTACATTGGAAAAATACTTTGCTGATAACATAATTATAAATTGTATTCTTGTAAATGGAAAAAATAAATGTGAAGATTACGATTCCCATATTGAAAAAATGCATAGACATCCACATTAGAATGCAAACTTTGAAGAACTAAAAATTATGAAATGAAGTCTATATTTGTGAGTAATGAGCTACAAAACTTGTTGTAGTTCTAGTAAGTACTAATAAACTAATAGTGAGTACCAAAGGGCAGCCTGTATCGTACTGATGTAGTGCTCTCTCTCCTAGGACAGCAGCAGCAGTTCCACTTCGCATTCGGACAGCGGCCGTTCCCGTTCCCTCCCGACCCTCTGGGAGGGTTCCGAATGCCACCTATCACTACATGTCAGAGTGAGTATTTAATGAGTAGTTATTTTTTTTTTGTTTTGCCTGTTTAAATAGGCTTTATTGAGCAAATTTATAATTATTTTATTTATTTACTTATGTGGACTATTGTTTAACTGTTTATTTTAAATATAATTCTGAATAACTGGTTTCTAATGCAAAATGTTAAGTGAGATACGTGATTAAATGTAATCTACCTATACAACAACATAGAAAATCTATACAAAACGCCATAAAATACTAAACAAATAAAAATCAAAACCAGAGCAGGAATCTAAATCGGAATGATAGCACAAACCTAGGCAGCGCGAGGTTCAAAAGTGAATGAGTCGCCAAACCAAGCGATACGCTAAACTACGTTCACTAAAGCGCGGATTCAATCAGTCGACGCCAAAAAGAGAATCGGACTGGAAGCTGACTGCGGACGCAATCGAACAAGCGTGCTCAAGCCCGCTAAAATCCACGGCTACCCCAAAACAACTCATGCGGCTCAAAACGGAAAAAAAGGCATTCGCAAATCGACGGCGGGAACGCGTACCGTATAAAAACCGAGTCCGCTGATCGCCGGCCAAAAACGGAACCGTGATACCGAAAAATAAAAGCCACTGATACAGGGAAAAAATAAAGTGCACGCTACGGCCGCCGGACCGGGCCGGACATCTTTATAAGTGACCGCGCGCTTTTCTGTGCAAACATTCGTGTTTGAATTGATAAGTTCTGAATACACAAGTGGATGCTTTAGTTGGGGTGGCTATTGTTTCATGTATCGCTTTCGTTCTATGGGTGGATGCGTTGGATATAATTTTAAACTTTAAAATATTGTGAATCTTTAATGCAATAAAAATAAACAAGTGTTTCATATTTTCGCAGACATACACACCGAAATTATAATATAGGTATAATTAATTATAATAATTTTGGTGTTTTATATTTTTGAAATATTATTCTTAGCATTCTGACTAGTATTATCAGCATCACCTTTGCTCAGTGTGATTACTGAGGTGTAGGTAAACACATACGCAACTACTAGTAAATCACGGCAAATACAGCTCAAAAGAGTTATTTTCGAACGATATTCAAATTCAGCAAATAAGTATCATTCAATTAATTAATAACTCAAACACAAGATGTTACGAAGTTTTTAAACTATGAAGTACCTAATAGCTTCCACCCGCGCCCGTGTGGTATGTTGATAAAAAGTTGCCTATGTTCTATTCCGGAATGTATCCTATGCCTCTGCCAAATTTAATCTAGATCCGTCCAGCCGTTTTGGCGTGATTGAGTAACAAACATCCAAACATTGTAACTTTCGCATTTATAATATAAGTAAGATGTAAGATTAACATTACTTTTTTTCACAGATATGAGTCAATTCGGTCTAAGTTCGAGTAACTCCCACTGGGGGTATGGTGGCGCTGGCGCATATCCAGCGTACTTACCGTCTTGTGCAGCGCCAGCAGCATCACAGTTCAATCCCCCAGCGTTGGGCTTCGCTGGTACTGTTCCTGATCAGACGCCCACGCAAGATTTTACTGCTAATAATACAGGTACGATAAAAAAAAAAACATTTTATTATTTTTGCGATTGAAATATTCTTACAACTTTTAACAAAAAAGTTACCATCACGAATTCAACATTAAAAAAATATTACCTCCTGGTTTTTTGACTATATTTTTATTGTGCAATATCATAAAAAAAAACAATTGAGAATCAATAAAATTGTGTGTACAACTATTTTTGAAATCAGTTCTGTCTTTAGTAAGTCTCTTTTCCATTCCAAAATTCAAAAATATATTTTTAGTATACTATAATTTAATGTCACTACAAAACTTGTCGTCTTGGGCTGAAGGTTAAGACCTCGTGGTTAAGACACCCGCTTGTCCTGCATGAAGGTGCGGGTTCGAAACCTGGGAAGTACCTTTCAATGTAACTTTTTCCGAATTATATGTACTTTTTATGATTATTTAGACACCACTGACATACACCAAAGGAAAACATAGTGAGGAAACCAGGATTTATAATTTCTAATTATAAGTTAGAAATCGCCAATTCATTTTGAGCAAGCGTTATGATAAATGCTCAAATCTCCTCCGTGTAAGACGAGGTCTTTGCTCAGCGGACGGCACTTATATAGGCTGATGATGCCTAGGCTACAAAACATAAAAAAGTTTTCCATCAAATAGTTTATACAGTAAATACCTCTTGCACTCGGTAATCAATATTCAGCAAAATTAAATTAAACATACCAATAGGTACTTTTACAACTCGTGTCGTTCTTTAAATAATATGTTCAACGGATACGCCACAGATTATAAACGAACACAGATAGTACAACTTGTTTTTACCGTAGGTACTATTACGTATTCATTCGATAAAACGATTTTCATTTGAAACTACTTGATGGGTTGTGTTCATTTCCATATATATGAAAATGTATCAGTTGGATAATAAATAATACATTCGATGTCTTCATATTTTTTTTTTTTATTTTTCTATGTTGACTTTTTGAAATAGAATATACAAAATGTCTCGCAATAACATTTATCTTATTGTAATCCATCAAATAATTATTTGATGTTAATGATAAGTTCTAGAAAAATCTGTTCGTCTAAAATTGGGTTTTCCTATTACAACTAATTCTATTTCTAATCAAGAAAGATTAATTTTCATTATACTTGAAGTAAAGTAAATGTAAAAATATAAAATAAAATAAATTTTTAAGTAGATCCATATTGTACTGTCGGTTACATACTCTTAGGCCAGCTAGTAGGACATTAACCAACTCTCATTATAATTTACAGCGGCTCGCACACGTCCGATCCGGCCGATGAATTTATTGTCGAAGCGTGCCCGATCAACGAAAAATATAGCCATATTAAAACCATACTAAAATACTGTGTGTCGTATAATAACAACAATTACCTATATTTAGACTTCCACAAAAAATGTAAACAGCTATTTATGGTCGGGGTATTGTTTCGTAGCATTATACATAAATTTGTTTTGTGTATCATTAAAAGTTCCTCGTTTTTCTTGCTTTCTCACTTTGTTGGATAGTAATTATTGATGTTTTTTCCGTACAGTTCTACCAGACACGACAGGCGTTGACCTAGACCAGCAACTATCAGGCCTCGTCGGCTCCTCCCCATCACACCACGGCAGCCTCCTACCTCGTTACAACAACAACACCGACTACAGCCTCTCGACGGGCCCCCGGTCACTCAGCGACAACAGCTCACAGCCCGAGTCACCCGTACAGGACGATTTGCTCACTTCAAACACATCAACAAACATCGGCCACAATCACACAAACAGCTCAAACTTCCCGTCGCTAATGGGATCACAGAACACTTCGTACGGCGGCAGCAACTGTAACAACTCGCTGTACCCCGTCCTCCCAGCCAGCTTGTTGTACAGCCAATTGTATACCGCAGCCAACCAGACACACAACTTCCATCCGCTGCACTCCAACTCGATACACTCCACGCAAAATCACCATAACGAACTACAAACTATGATGGACCAGATATCGTCTACTACGAACAATCACAGACAACACGGCAATCATGGACAAGACCTGCTCCTAGGCGGAGGGAACTCCTGTGCGGCGGCGGCGGCTAGGGGAGAGGACGGACGGGTGAATAATCTCGGACAAAGAGGTAATCCGCAGCCAGACAGTAACACGGTGTGGCGACCCTACTAAACAAAGTGATGTTCCTTTTATTGCACCCATATGAACAATATGTGTTTGTAGATATATCGTCTGTGTCGATACCTCGGGTAAACCAGTAGTGTGTGTCCGTTTTGTATTTTTAATGTGACGAAACGTGGTTTTACACTGTTTCGACGTATTGATTCTAGATGAGAATTGTTATAGATCGAAACAGAGAGGATGCAACGAAATAGATTCTCGATTGCGTTTTCAACTAAATTAATTTGTAAAATATGAGATACAGGTGATTGGATTAGTTGAAATTTGTATGTAACCTAGTTCCAAAGTTCGCTCCCGTCCTGAATTTATACGATTTTGTTGATTAAAATTAACATTTTTAACAGATTAAAATTAACATTTTAGAACATTTCGGTCGTAGTCTGGATTGTGCAAGAATATGTTTGGTTACAATGTTGTTTTAAGTGTCGGTGATAGAGAATATTTATCATACATTTAGTTTCAACACATTAGTTTTGATACATACACCAAATATTGGTTTCAAATATTGGCTAGCCAACATCCGCAAATGTAGTTAATGGCTTTGTACAACTTTAACGAACTAACCGTATACGATTCGAGCCGTGATTTCACCAATATGGCATTGGTTGTTGGTGGTCCAATATTTGGCCGAGATGCAAGATGTAAAAATGGTTTTAACTTTGTCTTTTAACGGCAAACTTGTAAATAAGAACTGTGAATACTAATTTGTTGTAAATGCATCTTGTAAAGTGCAATAGATGTGCAATTATCAAGTTGAGTAGATGTATACTTAGTTGTAAGTGACTATCTGTTGAGTATGTGAACTCTGTCCAATTTGTAGATAACTTTAGATCCGTTTTACCTTCAGTTTTGTTATTAAAAATATTATCTAGTTTGCAAATATTTTGTCTAGTTGTTGCAAATATTTTGTCTAGTTGTATTTCGGAATTGATAAGCCCACAATATTTGGCGGTTTAGAGGCAAATTTCCAATTAAAAATTGTAATGTTAATCAACAGATATGTTTACGTGTTTTTTCGTTGATTTTAATTAACTGCCGACATTTTCTCTTTTTATTATATTATTACATGTTTATATTTTAAATAATTTGTGCAATACTAAAATATTGAATGTACTGTAACAATGTGGTTTAACTTTGCGTAGCAATTCATTTGTCGTTTTCGCTTCCCGTTATTATTATTTCTGTTGACTTCAAGTAGCAGAATTCATTTTACAATAAATAAAACCTACAAATCAAATAATGTCTTTTTATATTTATACCCCTTATAAGCCAAAGCATCAAAAAGTATTTAACATTAAAAGCAAACTCAATATGTATCTAATTATACCAGCTACTTCGACCCTATTGGTTGCAGCGTGATATTTTAATAACCTCTCAATATGAAGATTATCCAACACAAAAAGAATCGTTTAATTCTACAAAGTACATAATATTAAAAAAAATGTGAACAGTTTCAAATAATCTTGGACTGCCTTCAATGCCTTTACCAAAATTATAAAACTTCAGATATACCAACTACCAACCCTACAAAATTCAAATATCTACGTCCTAAACCTAAACACGACCCAATCAACGCCAATATCGAAACTTCAAAATCAGTCAAACCGAGCGTCTCAGTAATTACAAATTCACAAATATCGGGCGCCATCGCTCATGCCATCAACTTTAATAAGCTCATTACCGTACCTGATTATACAGTGTCGACATATGACTACATATATATAAGTATGTCTACATATGTCGACATATGACTACATATATATGTCTACGTATGTCTGAATATGTCTACATAATGTAGGTAGCACCTGTCATATAGGTGAACTGATATTTTGGCAACTGCAAACGAAACTCTGAAATAAATATCCCACCCTCATTAATTTGCGCCAATGCGATACGATGGACAGTCGTACGTACGCCCACAGTACGGCGTCCACGTTTCTGTGGTTTTCAGGATAACTTTTGTTTATGTTTAGTTTTGTTTTGATGAAATATTTTATTATCATAATAAATTTAAAAGTGTTAGAAAGGTTAAATTAATGATAAGGGTGATTATAAGTAGTGGTGGCCCGGAGGTTAAGGCGCCCGCTTCTCATGCATGAGGGTGCGGGTTCGAAACCTGGCAAGTACCAATGTGACTTTTTTCGAGTTATATGTACTTTCTATGATTATTTAGACACCACTGACATACGGTGAAGGTAAACATCGTGAGGAAACCTGGACTTATAATTTCTAATTATAAGTTTCAAATCACCAACCCGCATTGAGCAAGCGTGGTGATTAATGCTCTAACCTTCTCCGTGTGAGAAGAGGCCTTTGTTCAACAGTGGGCACTTATAGGCTGATGATGATGATGATGAAGGGTGATTTAATAAATGTGTTCATCTAGCACAATCATCTAAACTTCAGCTTGAATTAAAAGTTAGTTCAAGTTAGCATGATTCAAATCTAAACAATAAGGACAAATAAAAAAGGATAGGTACAACAATTTATTGAAAATTACGACTTCATCACGTGAATTAATCGAGAAAAGCTCTAAAACTTTCAAGTCACAATGGGACGTAGCCGTAGCCGTAATCGTCCGGAGGCCCTGTTAATTATTTCACGTGATTGATCTGATTTGATTTGTGTTTTCAAGGTTTTTATTAATTACATTGTTTAAAAATACAGTTAACAAATTATCTTATTCTATTTGTTCACAAATCTGGATTTACCTTGTCACACGATTGAGTAGTGATTTCCTACAATAGTTGCTATTCATAAATCATAGTTATTCGAAATTTTGAAAATATTTGAAAGTCAATAAGTACATAGTAAGCTGAAAGCTTTTTAACGAACGCTTAAATATATTGGAATACATATCTCTATTTAATTTAAAGCACATAAACCAATCCTAAAACCATAGACCATGCTTTCACATTACACACTAATAAAATGAAATTAATAAATAAATCAGAGATTAGGCGACCGACCAACAAAAGAGTATTAATGGCTTTAGCGATTCAAAAGGCACACTAATTCCACAATGAAATGATTGTCACCTGAGCATTGACGATAATATATGCGATTCTACCCACGGCTTGGACACACAACGAAAAATCGATGCCAGACCGATTTGAACGACTATAATGAGATTTAAAATTGCAAAGTAATTAATGAGGATTAGTACTGCAATTCCCATGATAAATATCAACATGGATACCCTACTGACGATGTTTCAGAACATTTATTATTTAAAATCATATAAAGTGAACTCTATAATGAGGTCATGTTTTAAATGGCAAAGTAGGGAGATATAAACATCTACGAATGGTTGTCTCAGTTTAACATATTTATAAAACTTAGAAAACAATTTATTGTTTTTTGTATATCTTTATATACAATGCTACATAGCTAGGTGGACTGACGATATCCAGAGGGTGGCTGGCGGTGGTTGGATGATAACAGCTGAACATCGAGCTCAGTGACGTGCTATTAGGAAAGCCTTTGACCAGAACCTGACGGAATGAGACATGATTAATGTTAGTTTCAGCATTCTTCAAAGTAGAACAAAATTATACAAAAACTAAAAGTAGTACTGCTACTACGAATGTGCTACGTCTTTGCTACGAGCTACGTATTTCGTAGACTGTAGCGAATGCTCAACCTGTGCTGCATAGTGAATTGTTATTATTATTATATTCTACTTACTTCATTGTGCTATGTTTATGTTATAAATGTCACTGACATACAAGTTAAAAATTATTGTATGCCATTATGGCGGGTCATATTGTGGACAATCTTTGAAAAATTCACCACAGTAAATAAAGTAAATTAAGGGGTCATTTTTTTCTTACAATATCCTGAAAGATATAAAAGTAACATTATATGAAACTGGACTATATGTTTAAATAAATAAACACATCTCTACGTTTACAGCAATGGCGAATTCATTAAAAAACACCACACAAACTGTATTATCAGTATATTCTAAATTGGCACGTTCATTCTATAAATTGATATTTAATTTTATCGGTTGGATGTTTGCAATTAATTACAACAATCGATAATTTCGCGCTCCGCCGAGCGAAAACTACTACACAAACTGGACGGAGGCAGATAAAGCGGTGCTGTGTGGAATATGGATAATGTTTACTATGGTTATCCTGTTACTATTGGCATTTTTTTTTTGTATATTTTAACCGCTACCTGTTGTTCATGTAAACATTATTTAGTTGATATGAAATATGGTGGTAGAATGATCCGTCTACAGAGATGTTTTTGCAAATTTTGTTACGGTCTGACTTTTACTTGGTCGTGCAGTCTGAAATTGCACTAGGTGTATTACAGTAAGTTTGCTACTTATACTACTATACGTTTATACTCGATAAATGGATCTCGTTATGACTGAATATCATAACAAGATAATACTAATAATCAGTGACATGATGTTATGGCTAACAAAAAATCACATTACTTTTTTTTTAAACTTTGCTCCACACTAAGATTTTCTCCTGTGTCGTGGGTGCATTTACAAATATACAATTTCACGTGCACATCACACCCAGACCCGGAACAACAATTTGTGGATCACACAAAGAGTTGTTCCGTGCGGGAATCGAACCCGCGACACGTTGCGCGGCAGTCAGTTGGCTAGCCACCGCGCCAACCGTGCTGTCACATTGGTACTTGGAAGTACCAATGTGACTTTTTATGTGATAGGATAGCAAACGAGCAGATGGTTTATCTAATGGCCTATAATCGACGCTGCCCATGGACAGTGGACAGCCGCAAAACCAGTTGAGTTACAAGTGCGTTACCGGGTTTTTTGGAATCTATGGCGTAGAAGGATTGGAGTTACAACAAGCGTGATTATTCATGCTTCAAACTTTCTCCGTGTGAGAAAAAGTCTTTGCTCAGCAGTGGGTGCATAAAGGTTGATGATGTGATGTTTAATAATATTTTTGTTCTGACAGTATCTTTTACTAATGACAATACGTTTATTATAACTAAGAAGTAAGTAACAATAAAGGAAGCACCAAGGTCGTCTCTCCAAAAATTAAATCCGGCGCAGGTTAACTGAGCCCATTATTTTTAAAT